AAAGGGGAGTAGATTTTGATAATGTTTGTTACAATCGAAGGAAGTCATGAGACATGATTAGCAATATCAGGCTGTGATGGATGTATGGGGCAGCGGGTCTCCTGCAGCAAGAGCCTGGTTGATGAGGCAAGCACCAGACGAGCCTGACCCATGGCCGGGCTCAGTAGACAAACTCTCGAAACTCTTCAAAGGTATATCAAAGGTAGAGTATGTGTTATTCAAACATTTACACTTAGAAACAATGTAAATAAACAGTAATATCAAGCAACAAAGTCGACCACATCGACTCAGGTTGAGGGACTGATTACCTCATTCTCCTCCTGTTCTTCGCCATTCTCCTTTGTATGGACTGACGAAGCCACTGTGTGGTGAAACGTTTAATCATTAAAGTTACCCAAGTGTTGCACATGTGTCTAATTGATCCAATTGTCGGTTCTCTGAACCATTTATCCACTTCCATTAAATTATTAACTCTAGAGTGATCAGTACAACTCAGCTGGGTAAACTCTGCCACTTCTCTTAACTCTTATGGCCAAAATCCTGTACCTACACTTTGCCTCTTATCCTTGTAGCGTCTTCGATTTAAGGTCCAACCTGGAGTTTACCTGGAGAGGGTTCTGGGGGTCAACGCCCCCTGGACCCGGTCTGTGACCAGGCCTCATGGTGGATCATTTACTGGCCACAGACCAGACCCTAACTTTAGGTGCCTATCCAGTACCTGCTTGAAGACAGTCAGGAGTCTATTGGTAATCCCCCTTATGTGTGCTGGGAGACAGTGACATCTGTGGAATATAACTTTAAATGAGAATGAGCAGCGCTGTATGACCTTTGTGAATTTAGCGTTTAATTAATAATAATAATAATAATAATAATAATAATAATAATAATAATAATAACTGGAATGGTAGCAGCTCACATACTGGATTCTAAAAGAGAGGGAGACTTGGGTAAAGTGTTTACATCTTGATGATACAAACTATATCAAAGAAATGAAAAAAATTCACTAATACCACAAAATTAGGCTGACACTCCGATACCACCAGAAACCTTCCAAGATTTTGATCAGATTATTTGGAAAAAAAATGGCAGATGCTGATCAATGTGGAGAAATATATGAGGTGCATTTTTAAATGGTTCATTACTTTGTAAAAGCCATTTTTGCCTGATAAAACAGTGTTGGAGCATTTACTGTGCCAGGAAGCGTCGTGTGTGAAGCACACAATATCTGAAACTTAATGGGGGGCTGCAAATACGGTGCTTAAAATGGGGGGGCTGCAAATACGGTGCTTAAAATGGGGGGCTGCAAATACGGTGCTTAAAATGGGGGGCTGCAAATACGGTGCTTAAAATGGGGGGCTGCAAATACAGTGCTTAAAATGGGGGGCTGCAAATACGGTGCTTAAAATGGGGGCTGCAAATACGGTGCTTAAAATGGGGGGCTGCAAATACGGTGCTTAAAATGGGGGGCTGCGAATATGGTGCTTAAAATGGGGTGCTGCGAATATGGTGCTTAAAATGGGGTGCTGCGAATACGGTGCTTAAAATGGGGTGCTTCAAATAGGGTGCTTAAAATGGGGTGCTTTAAATAGGGTGCTTAAAATGGGGTGCTTTAAATAGGGTGCTTAAAATGGGGTGCTTTAAATAGGGTGCTTCAAATACGGTGCTTAAAATGGGGTGCTTCAAAATATGGCGCTTAAAATAGGGTGCTTCAAATAGGGTGCTTAAAATGGGGTGCTTTAAATAGGGTGCTTAAAATGGGGTGCTTTAAATAGGGTGCTTCAAATAGGGTGCTTAAAATGGGGTGCTTCAAATAGGGTGCTTAAAGTAGTGTGCTTCAAATAGGATACTTAAAATGGGGTGCTTCAAATAGAGTGTTTAAAATGGGGTACTTAAAATGGGGGTGCTTCAAATAGAGTACTTAAAATGGGGTACTTAAAATAGGGTACTTAAAATAGGATGCTTCAAATGGAGTACTTAAAATAGTGTGCTTCAAATGGGGGTACTTAAAATAGGGTGCTTCAAATGGGGAACATAAAATAGGGTACTTAAAATAGGGTGCTTCAAATGGGGTACTTAAAATAGGGTGCTTCAAATGGGGTACTTAAAATAGGGTGCTTCAAATGGGGGTACTTAAAATAGGGTGCTTCAAATAGGTACTTAAAATAGGGTGCTTAAAATAACACACTGTAATTGGAAAAGTACAGAGAAGGGAAAACAAGTCCTGAATTCTCTCCATCTTCCCGGAGCTGTATGACCCATATGGGTTTAGCTCCCACGAATGCAATAATTAAGATGAGGGCTGTGATGCTGATGAAGGGCTCTTGATCCAAGAAACTGGACCAGCTCTCTCATTCCTTGAATCAAATCTATGATTTATACGATTCCTCTATAGACAGATTCCTCTATAAATAAGGACATAAGAAGGAACACTGCAACAGACCTACTGACCCATGCGGAGCAGGTCCATGTCCCCCCCGGATTAGCCCAATGACCCACCCAGTCTGGTCACCTCCACTCAAGGAAGGAGCACGACGCCAGACCCAGCAGCACAAGCTAGTCAGGTCCAACTCACACCCACCAACACCCACTCATGCATTTATCTAACCTATTTTTAAAACTACATAACGTTTTAGCCTGAATAACTGTACTCGGGAGTTCGTTCCACTCATCCACAACTCTATTACCAAACCAATGCTTTCCTATATTATTCCTGAATCTGAATTTTTCCAACTTAAAACCATTACTGCGAGTCCTGTCTAGGATAGATATTTTCAGCACACTATTTACATCCCCTTTATTTATTCCTGTTTTCCATTTATACACCTCAATCATATGCCTTTCGAGAGAGTGCAGATTCAGGGCCCTCAGTATGTCCTTATTACAACCCAGGAGTCCAAATGGCCTGTTATCCTGGGTGTAAAGGGAGCAAAATAAACACAGCAGAAAAGTTTTGACTTATATTATCCTTCACCAACTTAGAACAGAAGTATGTACACTATATACACTATGTACAGTGATAGGTATTAGTGCACTCCACAGTAAGCAAAGCGGAATAGAAGCCACTAGAGAGCAGACCTTGCTTCAACCAGCTCTAGAATGGGAATGACAAAGGCAGACAGGAGAGTGGTACCCACATAACCTCTGCGATTGCCAAAACCATCTCATTGGCTGGAACCTGGGTACTGGTTAAACGACAGGCCCCCATCGTCAACCCTCAGTTCCCTGGTTTTCTGGTTGGGGGAGATAGCCTGTAAATGAGGGTGTGTACATGCGCCGAATAAAGAATAAAGGTTACGTACTCTTTGCATGCCACACCCTCACCCCGAGAAGGCTCAGGATTAGGCTCCCACCTCCCAGTGGTAACCGTGCTGCCATGGCACAAAATAATGGGACCACCTTTCCTCTCAACCATCCAACTCTTAGATAGAGCTCAGCTTTTTTTTGTGACAAAAAGCCAAACCCTAAACTCAGAGCGAGACAGCAGACAGTCGGGCTAACATAGGTCCAAGACACAGGCGGACGGTAGCCCACATCCCCTCACTAAAAAAAAAAACCCACACCAGGGGATAAAAAAAAGAGCTTGGAAGGGGTTACCACAAGTAACCTAACACATCCTAACCTAATATATAATTATAAATAATATAGTTAGACTCTAGATAAAGAGTCTGCCAACATATTTTCTTTGCCGGCAATATGTATAATTCTCAGAGAGTAGGGTTGCAGTCTTATACTCCATCTCGTGAGCCTCGTATTATGGTTCTTCATGGCTTGGAGATATACTAGAGGATTGTGGTCACTAGAGACAGTGACCACCTGCGAAGTCTGTCCTATGTATACATCAAAGTGCTCCAAAACCAGTACCAGCACAAGGGCTTCTTTTTCAATGGTAGAGTAAGCCCTCTGATGCGGCTGGAACTTGGCAGAGTAAGCCCTCTGATGCGGCTGGAACTTGGCAGAGTAAAAGGCTACAGGCTGCAACTCCTCATTCCCGTTTTGCAACAGTACTGCCCCAATCCCAGACTCACAAGCATCAACCTGTAATGAGAAAGGTTTTGAGATGTCTGGAGACAAAACAATGGGTGCAGTACACAATAATCTTTTTGCTTTGTCAAATGCACCCTGAGCAACTGAAGTCCAAATAAAGGGAACATTGTGACTGGTAAGAGAGATAAAAGAGGCTACAATATCTGAAAAATTCTTACAGAATCTTCTGTAAAATCCTATCATGCCTAGGAAACGTTGAAGAGATTTCCTATCATGTGGAACTGGATAATCTTTAAAGGCAAGAACTTTAGCAAGTTTAGGAGCAACTTTACCACTACCTACTTCATGGCCTAGAAAAGTAACAGTGGCCTGGCCAAAGGAAGACTTAGATAAATTAACAGTTAAATGGGAACTCTGAAAGGTCTCAAAAAGATCCTTAAGTCTAAATAGGTGTTGATCCCAAGTATCAGACACCACAACAATATCATCCAGGTACGTTGCCATGCCTTCAAATCCTTTAATAGCCTGATGGATAAGTTTCTGGAATGAAGAGAGGGG